TTAAATAGTTAATTAAAATAAATAATAATAAAGTTAAAGTAAAAAAACTATTTGATTACTTTAAAAATAAAAAATAATAATTAATTTAAAATAAATCTAAAATAAAAAATGATAATTAATTTAAAATAAATTTAAAATTAAAAAATATCAATTATTTTAAAATAAATAGAGTTAACAAAATATCACTATAGTAAATCGATTATAATATGTTGATGCATCTCATTTTCATTTCCATCAATTTGTCATGTGATAGTAAGTGTTTGTTTGGTACAATTTTTAAAAAGATAGTTTTTGTATCATAATTTTGTAGTAAAAAGGTTGTGTTATTGTGTCTTTACTAAATTTTTAAAGAATTATAAATTGAGGCATAAAGCCTATAATTTTTAAAATAAAGTTTTTATTGTTTATTAATCTTTAAAAGACAGGTATGATTTAAAAAGAGAAAAAAGAAAAAAATATAATTTCATTTTATTAAATTAAAATATTAATTTAACATTTTAATTTAATTAGGTGAAATTAATTACCTCCTTTTTTTATTTATCTCTCACCAAACGGGTCGTAACGGTTTAAATGCCACTAATTCACATTCTCTTCTTATAGTGCACCGCGTTACCTCGTACAACGTGTCAATATGTCTGTCGATCACGTGCGCGGCCACCTCTCTCTGACACTTCAACTATTCTTTCGGGACCACCGTGTCCGCGGCGGATCTCCCTTATTTTTCCCGGAATAAAAATTGGTTTAGCAGTTACTCGCTGGTGACGGTGAGAGATAAAATAAAAAAATAATAAAAATAATAAAAATAAAAAACTAGTAGTTATCAATAAACTTAAACAGTTTATTTGTAATTTTTTTAGTTGCAAATGAGAAATTTGATTTCAACTCGTATGATATAAAAAAAAAATTTAAGGATAATTTTTATATTATTTTTTAATATAATTTTATATATTGTTTAAATAATTTATTTATTTATTTAAAATTTATAATATCAAATATAATTTTTTAATAATATATAAAAATTTTATTAAAAAAATAATATAAAAAATTATCCACGTATCATTATTTAAAAAAAAACAATATAACTAAAATTAAGGAAATTAGAGGATAAAGAAAATCTTAACTTGCTCTCAAAAAAGGGGAAATAAAAAGAAGAAAAATCAGTTGACAGGTAAGTACGGACAGCTTATAAATTTATAATCCAAGATACGATCCCGTACGATTATTTCTTTTTCTTTTTCGTTTTTTCACGCAATTTTATTTTTCTTTGAAGATCAGAAATTGGCCAAAGTACTAGTAAATATTTTAATTTGATAGTGTTATAAAGATAAATTTTTTATATTATTTTTTATATAATTTGTACATATTATTAAATAAATAAATTTACTTAATATTATAAATTATATATAAATTAAAAAAATTAATTATTTAAATAATATGTTAAATTATACAAAATAT